GAGAGGAGGTGCCCAGCCCCAGAGGTGCTGGTGGGGACGAAGGAGAGCAGGGAATGCATGGGATGGGTTCAGCTCCCCCTCGCCCCAGAGTCCAGGCCTGGCAGGAGAGGCAAGAGCCCCCCCTCAGCGGTCACTGAAGCCAGGCATGGGGAAGGCACGAGCAAAGGTCTCCACGCGCTGGCGCAGCTCTGCCAAGCGCCGCTGCGTCTCCGCATCCTGCAGCAAGAAGGTCTTGAACTCCTGGAGCTTGCCTGGGTGCAGAAGGGAGAGGGAGAAGCAGGTGAGAGGGGCATGGGGGGGCACAGCAGCCCCATCCTGCCCCAAACAGAGGTGCCCACTCGCAGCCACAGCCCAGGGCCCTGCTAACTCACTGGTTTTGCTCTTGACATCCAGGGCCAGCGCTATGCCTTCATCGATGAATCCCACCACTTTCTGGAAATCCTCCTCGCGGAAGTGGCGGGAGGTCAGCGCGGGGGCCCCTAGGGACACGGACACGTCAGGGCTGTGAGCTGCACCGGGGGGGTACACCCAGCAGGAGCCAAACCCACCAAGCTGCTCCTAAGGTCCCTGAAGTGCTCCCAGACCCCTTCCCATAAGGGGTCCTCAAAGAGGGGTGAAGGGGAAGGGAGACGTCCTGGAGAGACAACAACCTGGGGACCCCTCCCCAGGGAAGGGGCTGGGTGGGGGCAGGAACCTCCTTCCCAGAACAAGACCTGTCCCTCACCCAGGCGCAGCCCTCCCGGCGTGAGCGCGCTCTTGTCCCCCGGGCACGTGTTCTTGTTGGCCGTGATGGAAACGAGCTCCAGGACCCGCTCAGCCCGGGCACCATCGATGCCCTTGGGCCGCAGGTCCACCAGCACCAGGTGGTTGTCGGTGCCACCTGGGGAGCAAGGGACACAAGGTGAGTGGTGACAGCCCCTGTCCCCTGCAGCCCCCCTGCAGCCCCGCTCCCTCTGTGCCACCTCCAGAGCCCTGCCCCACACCCTCAGCCCCCTTCCCCTTGTCCCCTGCGGCCAGGACGGAGGCACTACCTGACACCAGGGTGTACCCGCGCTGCAGCAGCGCCTGTGCCATGGCTTTGGCGTTCTTCAGCACCTGCTGGCAGTACTGGCGGAATGCAGGAGAGCTGGCCTGGGGGGGGGGACACACCACATCCATCAGCATGGGGCCTGGCACAGCCCAGCCCAGCCCTGGATCCTCCCCCCGCACACCTGCTTGAGGGCCACAGCTACAGCAGCGATGGCGTGGTTGTGAGGCCCCCCCTTGCAGGGAGGGGAAGACGGCGAAGTTGATCCTGTCCTCCAGATCATAGAGCGTCTCCTTGCCCGTCTTCTTATCCACCGAGCGCACGCCCTTGCGATAGAAGATGAGGCCTGACCTGTGGGCAAGAAAGCACGGCGCTGCTCCTCCCAGCACAGCCTGGCCCCTCTGCACCAGTGCAGCACCAGTACCATCACCACGCTGCTCTGGGCCTGCCGGGTGTCCTCCCTCCTGCCCCAGGTCTGGGGGCTGCCCCCAGACAGAGCATGAAAATCCAACTGCTTTGCACCCCCACGGGGCGCTGGAGCCTTCCCAGGGGTGGCAGCGGGATGCGGCCTCACCTGGCGCCACGCAGGGTCTTGTGCGTGGTGCTGGTCACCAGGTCCGCGTGCTCGAAGGGCGACGGGATGGCCTTGGCAGCCACCAGCCCGCTGATGTGTGCCATGTCCGCCAGCAGGTACGCCTTCACCTCCTCGCACACCTGGGGACGTGGCAGTCAGGGGCTGGCCCCGTCCCCGCGGTGCGCCCGCACCCAGGCGGCGAGGGCTCCTGTCCCCGTGGCACCGCGTCGCCTCCCCGCACCTTCTTCATGCGAGCGTAGTCGATGAGGCGGGCGTAGGCGCTGGTGCCAGCGATGACAAGGCGAGGACGGAAGAGCCGCGCCGTCACCTCCAGCTGGTCGTAGTCGATCAGCCCCGTGGCTGGCTGCAAGGGATGGACAGACAGCGAGATGACAGACGCACACCTCCCCTTGCAGCTCGGAGCCCGCAGAGCATCGCGCAGCACGAGGACGCAGCACACGGGGGCAGTGGGACAGGGGACGGCAGGGTGCTAGGGCACCCCAGGGGCACTGCTGGGGCTCAGCCAGCCACCCCCTGACTCACATCGAGCTTGTAGGGCATCGACTCAAAGAAGATGGACGTGGCTGAGATCCTCTTGACATCTGACATGTACCCGTGTGTGAGGCTGTGGGGGAAAGCAGAGGTGCAGGATGAGGCTGGGACCCCCCCCCCAAGGGGTGCAGACTCCCAGCTGCCTCACCCCGGCACCTACTGGCCCCCGTCAGGCAGGTCCAGCCCCATCAGGCGGTCGTGGGGCTGCAGCAGGGCTGTGTAGGCTGCAAAGTTGGCCGGAGACCCTGAGTAGGGTTGAACATTCACGCCCCAGCGGGCAGGGTCCAGGTCAAACGCCTCCAGAGCCCGCTGCTCGCACAGCAGCTCGATTTGGTCCACCACCTCAGCTCCCCCGTAGTACCTGGGGGGGGGGGGAAAAAGGAGGTGGTTATAGGGTATCCCCCTCTGCGAACCCCACTGGGGACCTTGGGGGAGAGGAGAGCTTCCCTTCTGTACACCCCTGCTGGCCCTGGGGTCCCTGCGACCCTTCCTGCAGCTGAAGACCGACTGCAGGAGGACCCCTGAAGCTGCCAGCACCCCCCGGCCAAGCCCAGAGCCCGTGACCCCCCCTTTACCTCTTGCCTGGGTACCCCTCCGAGTACTTGTTGTTGAGGCAGGAGCCCAGGGCCTCCAGAGCCGCCCGGCTGCAGAAATTCTGGGGACGAAGAGGCTCAGAGTTGGGGTGCCACAGCTTGTGGGAGACGGACCACTGCCGTCCCCGCTCCCAGCGCCCCCTATTCCCACCTCGGACCCCCCTACTCCACCTCAGAGGCGATGAGCTCCAGCCCTCGGCACTGCCGATCCTTCTCCTTCTGGACCAGGGACCACATCTCGGGGTCGCTCTCGGCAAGGCTCTCCTGCCCCGTCCAGCCAGGCAGGTGCCCGACGGCTGCTGCCGCGGCCGTGCCATGCTGCGCTCGCCAGCTGCCAGCACCCAGCTGGGCGCATCGCTGCAGAGCCTGGGTGGGACGGGGGGGGGCTCAGAGGTTGCCACCCCTCACGGGCAGCTGATACCCTGATACCCCCGAAGCACCCCTGGAGCTGTGAGCAGCAGCACGAGGAGCAGGACCCCGGTGCTTTGGCTCCCGCTGGCACCCCACAGGGTGGGTGTGGGCAAGTGGGACCCCCCCCCCGGGGCTACCCCAGCCCATAGCCAGAGCTTGAGCAGGGTACACCAGGGCGTGTGCAGGGGAGCCGCACGTGGGCACCTGGTGGGATGGGGGGGCCACCAGGACAGACAGCCCCCCGGACAGATGGATGCTAGGACAGATGGACCCCCACCCCTGGGGCTGGGGGGGGCCGGGACCCCAGCACCCCTCAGTGCACAACGCCAACCGGCAGAGCCACGGGGTCAGCCGGGGGGGGGGACCCCACGGATCCTGGGGGAGCCCGGCACGTGTGCTGGAGGGGGGGGACCCCGAGCACCCCCAGCCCCATTCCCCACCGCCGGCTTCATGCCCGGGGGGGTCCCCACGCACGTGTGCGGCCCCGTCCCGGTGCCGGGTGATGTAACCGCTGCCGCCCCATTGCATCACCCGCCGGGCCGCTGCCCCCCCCCCGGCACGGGCTACAGCGCGGAGCCGCCCCCGGCCCGCCCCGTCGGGCAGGGGGCCAAGGCCGGCGGCTGCCCCCGGGGTCGGCACCGAGACCGGGGACTTTGGGACGGACGCGAAGGTCGCGGGGGGGGGGGGGGGGCACGGGGCAGGGGGGTGGAGTAGGGGGAGTGTGGGGGGGGGGGTAAAGGGCACGGCTGAGAGGGACGAGAGGAAAATGGGGGGCGGAGAGGGGGGGGGGCGGGGCGTACCGGGACCCCCTGCGGGCAGCGGGACCCCCACAAGCAGCGGGACCCCCAACGAGCACCGGGAGCCCCCCCACCCCCCCCCTCCGTGGGCACCGCAACTCCCCTGCAGGCATCGGGACCCCCCCGAGCACCGGGACCTCCACGTGCACCGGGACCCCCCCCCGAGCACCGGGACCCCCCCGAGCACCGGGAGCCCCCGCAGGCACCGGGAGCCCCGTGAACATCCCCCCCCCACCCCCACCTCACCGCCCCCCCACCGACATCGCCCCCTCATCCCCCCCCAGACACCGGGACCCCCCCCACCGACACCTGCACCCCCCCCCCCCCCAACCTGTACCGGGCCCGGCCATCAGGACCCCCCGCACCCCCCCCCCGAGCACCGGGACCTCCCGTCTCACCGGGACCCCCGAGGGCACCGTGCCCCCCCCCCGGTCTCACCGTGCCCAGGCGCAGAGGCCACATCGCGGCCGGCTGCAGGCGGGTCCCGGCCGGGTCCCGGTGCCGTCCCCGGTCCCTGCCCCGCCTCCCGGGGGGGCGGGGCGCGGGGCTGCCGGTACCGCGGGGCACGCCGGGACCCGGGGGCTGGGGGCCCCCTCCCACCGTAGAGGGAGGGGGGGGTGGTCCCGGGACCGGAGCCCCCCCCCCTGTTCCCCCCCATCGGCCGCTCGGCACGCCGCACGGAGCCTTTTCCATTTTTTTTTTCCTTTTTATTTTTGTCATTTTACTTTTATATATATATTTTTTTAACTTTTTTTTTTTTTTTCTCCGTTTTCATTTTTCTTTAAAAAAAAAAAAAAAATTCCCAAGAAGCCCCCTCCGGAGCCGGGACGGGGGCACGGGGACCCCCCCCCCTACCCCCCTCGAACCCTCTCCCCCCCGTGGCCCCCGGGGGACTGCGGGTGCGGGCAGGGCGCTCCCGGCGGGTGGGGTCCCGGGGGGGTGTCTCGGGGTGCTGCCCACCCCCCCTCCACAGCTCGGGGACCCCCCCGGGGGTGTCACCGTGTACGCACAGCCCGGCTGCCCCCAGACGTGGGCACCGAGCCCGGGACCTGCCGGGACAGAGCCCACGCGTGGGGGCTGAGCCCGGCCACAATGGGGTGGCAGGGGGGAGGCAGCCCCCAGATTCCCTTGGGGGGGGGAGGAGGGGTGCAGGAGCCCCCTCCCCACCCGCCTCGGTGCTCCCCGGCCGTCAGCCGAAGTAGGGCTTCTCGTGCTGGAAGTTGGAGTCGGGGCAGACCTTCTGCACCAGCTTGTAGTCGATGCTGAGGAAGGAGATGAAGATGCAGATGACCTTGAAGGGCTTGGCGCACAGCCAGGCGGCGTGGCTCTGCGTGTGCTCGGTGAAGCACACCTTGGAGGGGTCGTAGAGGCAGGGTTTGTTCTTCCGTGCCCTGTTGGTCTTCTCGTACTCCACGTGGCAATTGAGGGCCTTGGCCGGGCGCCCCTCGGGTAGGGTGCTTTGCTGGGGGGGTAGGCGAGGGGGCGGCAGGGGGCGCCGGCACCAGTACCTCGAAGCCCACCGCCTTGGAGGGGGGCACGATGCTGACCGAGACGTTGCCCAGGCTGGAGGAGTTGTGGCGGAAATAGACGCTGAAGGTGCCGTTGATGTGGTCCACGATCTTCCCCGTCACCAGCAGGCTGAACTTGAGCGTCTTGATGTTGAAGTAGAAGTCGCCCCAGCCGAAAATCTTCTTGGTGCGGCTGGACTTGAGCGAGGGCTTGCGCCGGGCACGGGGGCTCAGCAGCTCCCCGGCCGTCCCGTTCTTCTGCCAGTCCCAGGGGCTCTGCGCTGCACCGAGGGGCTGCCCGGCACCCCGGGGGAGCTCAGCCGGCATCAGCCGCCCGGGGTCGAGCATCGGGGGCTTTAGGGTGCCATAGGGGACATCCTTGAGGAGGCCAGAGGTGCCCAGCTCCAGGTACCCGAGGGTCTTGGCGATGTGGCCCTCAGCGCACACAGTCTGGGGAAAGAGGGCAGAGGCTGCACGACTGCGTGCTGCCACCCCTCCATCGTCCTCCTGCCTGGCCCCACGCGTGCATCCCTCCTGCACCGTGCACCCCTCCTCTGCACCATGCATCCCTCCTGCACTGTGCTCTCCTCGTGCACCCTGCATCCCTCCTGCGCGATGCCCTCCTGAACCGTGCATCCCTCCTGGGCTGTGTCCTCGTGCATCCTTCCTGCACCATGTCCTCCTGCACCGTGCATCCCTCCTGCACCGTGCATCTCTCCTGCACCATGCTCTCCTCCTGCACCCTGCATCCCTCCTGCACCCATCCTGCTCCCAGGGCCCCTCCTGTCCACCATGCCCCAGCCAAGCCCAGGTCCAAGCAGGGCTTCACGCTGCCCGCATCCCCCTGCACCAGCCTTCACCAGACACACAGCAGCAGCCAGGACCGATTCCCCAGCATCACCCATGTCCCCGTGATGGGAAGAAGCAGGGCGCTGGGCAATTTGTTATTGCCTGCCCCGCTTTATCTGAGCCTATTAAAACAGGGGGATGAGGGGCAGCAGCATGCACAGAGAGGGGGAGGCAGCGGAGCCCCGCACCGCCTGCCAGGGAAGCCTAATTGCATTACCCAGCGCCTCTGATCTGCAGCTGAAATTACAGAGACTCCCGCCAGGCTGCTCAGTGGCTGCTCCGCCCTCCAGGATAATTGCACCGGGGCGGACGCAGATGAAGAGTGGGGTGCATTGTTTGCAGAGGGGCACACGTAAGGAACAAGCAGGTCCCCCTCGCCCTGCTGGGAGGGCACTTTCTGTATTCTGCCAGGGGAGGGAACCTGCATCTAAAGCAGAAAAGATGGGCAGTGGAGGAGGGGGGGGAGCAAAAGCTGGAGCTAAAACATCCCTGCACCAGCACCACCACGGGACCAGGGCCCCAGGCACAGGCTCCCAGCAGGGTGAGGAGGGGCAGCACCTCTCCTGTCATGGCAAAGCAAGGCAGCAACCCGGTAATCTCCTTACCCTGGGCCCCCATCTCCAATGTCCCATGTCCTGAGCCTTTCTCATGTCTGAGCATTTGCCGTGTCTGAGCATCTCCCGTGTCCGAACATCCCCCCTGTCTGAGCCCGCCTGCCTCCTCCCCGTCCCTCTTTCTGGCTGCTCCTGGCTTGGCACCTGGCGTGCCCCTCGCGCCCTGCCAGCTGCTCCCGGTGCGCACAACGCTGCTCCTGCCGCCCCGGCCTCGTCAATCACTGTCGCTGCGAGCTGGCAGGTGCTGGGCTGTGCTGGCAGGTTTTGATCTGGACACTGACCTGTTTCCCGAAGGGGATGTGGGGAGGAGGAGGAGGAAGGAGGACAGCGAGTGGAAGCGCCAGCTGGAAGGGCTAAGGTGTGTGTGGGGGAGGCTGCTGGGGTCTCATCCTGGCACCGCAGTCCTGCAACACCACCAGCACGGCTCAGCACTGCTGCACGCCTTGTGGGCACCTCCCGTGGGCCCCCACCAGGGAGGGACAAACCCCAGTGTCCCCACACTCCCTGCAGCCACCTGGGGCTGTGCGTGCGGTCATGTCTCTGCTGGCCACCGTGAAGGATGGCACAGGCTGGGCGCTGCCACCTCTTGGCTCCGCTGCCTGATCCCCTTCCTGCTGCTTGTGCTGGGCTGAGCCCATAAATCTGCCCTGACGTGCCGGGTCTCGCCTGCGCCACGCTGCCAGGAGTGCACAGGACCGGCTGATGGACGAGCCCCTGCGTGGGGAGCCGGGTGAATGGGGAGCTACCGGGTGGGGGGCGCTGAGCCCTGGGTCTGTGGGCAGGGCAGGAGATGAGTCTGCGAGGTCTGAGCCCGGGCGGACAGGGGTTGCGCTGTGGTGTGAGGCTGCGCCGAGCATCCCCGTAGGCCCCCGCTTGGCCCGGCCATCCCCCTGGCTCCCTCTCCAATCTCTCTTTGAGCACGGCTGCCGCGTTCGCCCTTATCTATATTTCAACGCAGCTTCAAAGCCGGGTGCCGTTACCAGCCAGGGAGAGAGGGAGGGAGCGCGGCAGGACCGTGAGATGGAGAGGGAACTGGGGGAGGGGGGAGAAGGGCAGCCCCCAGCCCCCTCCAGCTGGCAGAGAGCCATTTCGGGGTGGGCACGGCCTCCCCAGCAGGACCCCGCTTCCCCTCCACCCCAGCTGCCCTCCCACCATTAATCCCCTGCTAGCACATATCCAACAGCCCTGGGAGCCCCGTGTCACCCCGTGGGGACAGTGGCCTCCTCCTTGTGCCATGCAGAAAATCAGTCACCATGGAATGAGCACGGGGGTGCGGGGGTGGCAGCACCTGATCTATGGCCCCAAACCCACCTGAACCATCAGAGAGGGGCCAGGGGCAGTGCGGGGGCTGCACCTGTGGGGGTCTGCACGTAGCCACGTATCGTCCAAGCCCCACAAACCTTTCTGGAGGTTTCTCAGCTCTGCACTCCCCTTCCATTTAGAGCTGATGCCTGGGTTCTCTCTACCAAGGCCTCCTCCCCCTGCCTCAGTTTCCCTTCCCAATTCACCTCCTCAATGAGAGGGGTCAGATGGGGATGGCAAAATGAGGATGGGGGCGTGATGGCGATGCGCTGGGGACGGGGAAGTGATGGGATGCAGTGGGGAAATTCTGGGCCCCCCAGCTCATCCCACAGCCTCTCCAGGTGGGGACCAGGCTGCCACACCCCCCCCCCACCCACAAGCCCCCATTCCCTCCCCAGGAACTTGGGATGTTGGGGGAGCCAGGGATGAAAGGGAATAGCAGAGCAGGGCTGCCACTGCCGACGCAGCCAGGGCTATCGATTGCGGCACAAGCGCGGCGCAGACCCCTTCTGCCCACAGTCCCTCTGGTGCAGCTCCCCTGGCCGGGGGGGCAAAGTGGGCTGGGGGGGGGGCTCGGAGCCTGGCCATAGCGAGCATCTTCCACAGCAGCGGCCGAGGGGAGCCAAGGTCACCCCTCTGCACCCTGCCGGTGCTGTCAGCATTCAGGGCAGGTCCCACGCACACCTCGCTTTAAATATTAATGTTCCTGCTTGTTAGTGGTGGGGTGCAGCATGCGCACACGTGCACATGAGCCTTTGGGATGGATGTAGGCGGGGGGGGGGGGGGGAAGGGGAAAGGGCCTCGTCCCGCCGCGGTCCGCCCCAGCTGCGGCACGCCACGCGTGCACGTGGCTCGGGGTCGCTTGGGTTTCGCTGTTATTCACGCGTGTGCTCCTGCGTCTGCTCGTTACCCTCCGACGGCGTTACACGCTGCTGCTGCTCCCGAGCTCCCCGTGCACTTTTCTGTGCATTCGCCACGTGCCTGCAGGCCCCCGTGTTAGGTTCTACATGTGCAAAAGCAACCGGGCAAGGATGCGGGAAGGGTTGGGGGCGGCTGCGGAGGGACTGGGAAGGCTTCCCGGTGCCGGCATCAATTTGGCTTGTCAGGGCCGGCCGTGATGGCCGCTCACATCCCATTTGCTGGCAAAGCCAAGCGCCGTCAGCAGCTCCCCTGAGACACGCGGTCACCTTGGCGGAGGGGAGCAGAGCAATGCAGGGGGGACTGCTGGGGACAGGGGGGGAATGAGCTCCAGTGCCCCTGCAGCAGCACCCCAAGATTGGGGCCCTGTCTAATGGGGTACAGCCTCGAGGCACAGGCTCCCACCCCAGTGGTCCTGGACCCCTCTGACATCCCTGCGGCCATCCTGACCCCACTCTCGGAGGGACGTCAGCTGAGCAGGCACTGCTCCGTGGGTCGGGCTCCCCAGCTCTCCCTGTGGGCCTGGGGTCAAGCCGGTCTCCCCCCTGTCACCCTACTGCCTTCGTTAGTGCAAAGAGATTAATTGGAGGTGGTGAGCGACAATCCCTGCGGGCCCGCTCCCCCCCGCGCGGCGCAGCCTGGGGCGGTGTGGCATTTCCAAAGGTTAGCAGCAAACAAGGTGCTTCTGACAGCTCCCATTTATCTCGCGGGCGCTGCGCGGGTGCTAATGCGGTGGCAGGGTGCCGCGGTGCCGCGGCAGGCTCTGCCGGGCTGCGGAGAGGCACCCGAGCATGCACCTGTGCGTGCCAGGGCGTGCAACGCACACCCAGCGGCTGCGGCTGGGGAGGGAGCAGAGGAGGCGTGCGGGTGCCCGTGTCTGTGCGCGCTGCGCACGTCTGCGGGTGCCAACAGGTGTGCGTCAAAGACGTCTCCCAGCGCCAGCACATCCCGGCACACACCTGCACCGAGGGTGTAGACGAGCGCAACAAATGCCTGCGGCTGCTGGCGTGCACGCATCCTGCTGAGTGTGCACGAATGGCTTCACGTGCCCTGCGCACCCTTAGGTGCAGCTCCGTGCGCACGCGTGCACGGTTACACGCGCACACACGAAGCGAGGCTCTGCGGCGGTGCTTTGCCGGTGAGCCACCGCCCCTCGGTGCGTGTGTTCGTGTGCCCCCCCCCAGGGTGAGAGCGGTCACGTTGCTGCACGCTGAGTGCCCCAGAGCGTGGCCGTGGCTCACCCCAAGCCTCGTGGGTGCGCAGAAGGCAGCCAACGAGCACCCACGCGCAGCAGCAGCTCCTCGGTGTGAGCGCAAGGAGTCAGCCTGCTGCTGGCACCCCCGGGCTAGGGCCAGGGGTGTGGGCAGGAGCTGGGGGGCTGCCCCCGCAAGCTGAGCCCCAGCCCAGCTCTGTGTCCCTGCTGGTGAGGAAGAAGGAGCCTGTGCTGGAGGCTGCTGCTCTGCCAGCGGTGAGAGCTCAAGGGCACAGGGACAGCGCGAGGGGAGCCAGGGGGCTGCAGGGGTGCGCAGCCGAGCAGGGTGTGCAGTGGGGAGGGGGACAGCGGTGAGGGCTGCAGGGCACTGGGCAGGTTGGGGGGGGGACATCTCAGCACACGCCTGCAAAGAAAAGCAATGGTAGCCGAGCTGTCCTGGACATGAGCTCGGCGCATGCAGCTGATGGCCACACCGATCCCCCGGCCTCTGCCTCATTTCTGGCTGGGAGGGGCGCAGGGCGCAGGACCCGCAGGCAGCAGGAAGGCCGGTGGGCTCAGCGGTGGGCTCACCGCCGGGGAAAGAGCCCAGAGCAGCTCCCAGAGCCAAAACCACCGCTGACACCCCCCGCCCTGGCTGCAGCTGCAGGTACCCGCGAGGCAGCGCCCAGCTCCCGCTACGTGGCCTGCGGTGGCCTCACCCCTGCAGCCGGTGACGAAGGTGCCCGATGCCTCGCGGGGCCGGGAGGGGGCTGCCACCCACCACCACCTCTCCACTCACCCCCAAGCAGACACCTCTCTGCTCACAGACGGAACACATATGCAAATGCTGCGGCTTTATTAACGCGCTCGGCACGCGCTGGCTAATAAATATTTCATAGCCCGAGTAGGACTTTTTTTTTTTTTTTTTTTTTTTTTTCTCCCTCTTCTTCTTCTTTCTTTCGTTTTGGTTCCTTTTCCCTGTCATTCGTTTCCTGCCTTTTCTTTTCTCAGCTGCTGTTTTATTTATTTATTATTTTAAGGGCTTCTTGGTGAGACAGGAGCTGGTATGTGGCTGGGGGGGGGGAAGAAGGGAAAAATGTACACCCCCATCCTCCCCCCCCCACCTCCCCGGGTGGAAAAGAAAAGTGCTGTTAAGAGCAAAGGAAAATATATAATAGAAGGGAGGAGACA